TTTTTTAAAAAAAATATTCATACATTATTGCATAATAACCTACCTTACCCCCCACCCTGCCCCCATTCTTTTTGCAATGATACATCTTTTAGTCTGGGCTTTTGTCATATATATAAATGCCTAATCATAGATTCATTTTAGACAGGTCTTTCATCTGTTCTAATGCAATGGTCACTATCTATCACTCTTATCCTATTCTTCTCCCAACTCCCCATGTCAACCTTGCTTTCAAACAGTGGTGCTATGCAGTATTTGTCCTTTTGTGACTGAGATATTTTGCTCAACATGATGTGCTCCAGGATGCCTCATGTTGTGTAATGTTTTACAAGTTCACTGCTTTTCAGTGCCGCTTAGTATTCCATTGTATGAATATATCATAGTTTTTCTGTCCTTTGATTTAATGATGGACACTTGGGTTGCTTCCATCTCTTTCCTATTTTAAATAATGCAACAATAAACATAATTGTGCATATGTCTGTTTTGATGGTAGTTATGTTTTCTGTAGTGGAATTGCTGGGTCTAGCTTTCAGTTCCTGCCTGTGCTGAGTCTAAGAATTAACCAAGGGTAGAAAGTTAAGGTCTTTAAGGTAGTCAAATATGCTTACATTCTTTTAAATTTATTTTTCTATAATTTATAAGGTTTTCTTGCTGCCTCATTCTTACATGATATTTAATATTTTTCAAATTTTTATGCATTTACAAAAATATTACAGAACTGCTTTATAATCTTTCCTTCTACTTAGTAGGTTAACCTTTTTTATTTTCTTGAGATGAGAATGAAGTGGCTTTAGATTAGTTACATTAACATTTATGAAATATTTAGAGAGCAAAACAAATTAAGCTAATATAAAGCAATGCTAAAATTTCCAAAATGTTTAAAATATTCTTATCACATAAAAAGTGGTTTGATAAAAAAATCTGAATAGTGGTTGTTTTTTTTTCATTTGTGTTTAAATTCATCATTGAGATTAGAAATGGCTTTTAAAAATTGATGGAATGTGTACTTGTTATAAATGCAGAGGTTTGAGAAAAGTTATGAATGCACCATCTAGTGACCAAAGATAATCCTGTGTAAGAACTGAGTTATAAAAGACATTGAAAACATACTCTAAAGAATAACATTCCTAGAATGTTTCCAGAATATTATTGAATAAAAAATGTAATATAAAAATAATAATTTTTTTATTTGAAGATTCTATTTTAACAAGTGCCCTATTAGTTTGTGACCGTGACAAACTAAGAGCTGAGAAAAAATTGATTGCTCATTAGTACAAACATACCAGATAACTTAATACAATTTAGTGTCAGACTGATGAAAGGTCCAACCCTTTAATACAGATGATATAGAGCTAAATTAAGCATCAGTAAAAGAATTTCCTGTGTGGTTGCTTCCAGAACACTATTTATCTTATATTCTACCTTCACTTACTAGAGTCTCTGATAAGTCAAACCAAGGTATTAATGGCCTATCTACTTATTTGTTTTCTTCTCTTTTTATTCTGACTTTTGTTCTATACTTAAAGCCATATTTTAAATTCAAATATCTTTCATAAACATTGCGATCTACTTCCCAGGTTATATGAAAGGACCCTGTGAAAGTCCAGGCAATTTCTTCTAAAAAACCAGGTATTTACGTTTTTCTACATATTCACCATAATCTTCACTGTCTAATTTTTAGAATTCTGAATTGAAGGAATTTAAATGATATATTAAAAGTTAAATAGATAAAATAATACATACATTGTTTGGAAGAAAAAAGTATTATTGATTAGGTAGCTGGGAGAAAAAAAAGAAATCAAAAAGGAAAGAAAGGAGTAATAAGGGGAGGGAGACATATGTGAATAACTTAAGGAGACTATTATTATTATTACTATTATTGTTAAATACTTGATATTTTTTAAACACTTGAAAAGTGTAATAATTTCAATAATTTTAATTTGATGAAATGGAAGCTCGGAGGTGAAAAATACACCAAGAAAACATAAAATTCTGTTTGTATAAAGGATGGTTAATTTTCCATTGGTGATACATTTTAAGAAAACTTTTAGCATATTATCCTCTGGTGAGAATTGAAAAATTATCATCTGCTACTCTTTATTCCATTGATACCTTTAAAAGTTTTAAAATTATTTTAGTACAGAAAATTTTTTCAAAAATTTGCTATTCTAGAATCCAATTTACTATTTTTTAAAATTGTATAAATAAATGCAAAATAATGAAAAAAACTTTAAAAAACCCATTAATTTTATTGATAGATTTATTTTAAAAAGTTGCAGGTTTATTACAAAATAATTTGGAAGATCTGTATAAAAATGGATAAAGTTTGGAAAACATTTGTCCTTTTGAAAAAGTGAAAAGAAAAATCAATCAGTGCAATTATGAGATCACATTGGATGTAGAATAAAAGATTCAACAAAAGTAAAATCTGTTTTTAGAAAGTCAGACTTGAAACAATTTGACTTCCAGGTTGTAAACATAATTTTCCCTAAGTTGAATTAAATAAAGTCATTACATTATTATTTGAGTGTATATTTTAAAAAAATACTTAAGATGATATTTATGACTTGGTAATTGTAAATAGGTAAAATCAAAGAGATAAATGACCATACACCATACCAAGTCATTATTCTCTTACGGATTTTTTTCTGAAGCTTGAAATGCTTTCAAGTTATAATTTATACCTTAATATTTTATGATTTAAAATTTTCAAACAATATTTTTTGATAATTTTATTTACCAATTTCACATTTTTTTCTGAATTTAGATATATTTGTTCTGTTCATATTTATTATGTCTCTGCTCTTTAGTGATGAGTGAAGAACGAGTTACCTATTCTGAGCTGCAATGTCAACGTTCATCTCATCTACAGAGAAAGCCAAGACCTGGGATGTCTAAAAACAAAGACTCATCGTGTTTTAGACATATAGGTATGTTTAAATTCTCTCATTTTAAATTTCTTTAAAATAGAAATTTATTTTGTCTTCACACACCCACCTACAAACACACACAAACACATACAAACACTTTAAATGTAGATCACATACCAAAAAGCAAAACTAACACCTCTGAAAATTTTTGTTTGATTTTCAACACTTTTAAGTATGTTATAAGCACCGCTGATATTTTTAATGAATTAATTACTAAGAATAAACTTATAAATATTGCTTTATTTAATCTTATAATTGATTATATTATTAATTATATTCTGCTACTATAAAATAGCAAAACTACACAGACGTATGTTGCTGTTGTGTTCTGTGGAGTCAGGAACAAACCATAGCAGAAATTCCAATGGGTTTTCAGAGGCAGTGAATCTCAAGGGAGGAGATTACCCATCCTTCTCCAGTGGAGCAGCTGGTGGTCTTGAACTGTGTGCCTTCAGATTACAAAACAGTATTATATATTATTATATATTTATAGCATTATATATTTACATAAATATACACTATACTACATATATCATATTCTATTATCTATCTATCTATCTATCTATCTATCTATCTATCTACCTATCTATCTATCTCTTACATCGGAATGTGTTCTGGTAGCCTAATTATAAGGAGCTATGCTGCCAACCCAAAAGTTTGTAGTTTGAATAGCTGCCCCATTGGAAAAAGATGAACAATTTTCTCTTGTGAGAATACAGTCTTTGAAAATCAGGTGGAGGGTCAGCTGAAAGTTGCAACTTGACTGCACATAACAACAATAATAACATATAATCAGGTATTTGGAAAATGGAGAAGTAAATGAAAATGACAGATAATGTCATTGTTTTTGTTTTCTATTAAAAACTTAAATATTCATAATATATAGTCAACATAGTACGTAAATGTGGACATCTTTATTGTATTATATTTCTAATTTGAACATTCTATACTGTTTTTTAAGAAAATGTTTTTTTGCTATCATCTTATAATTTTAACTTCACTTTACTTGGTATTTTCATTGTTAACCTGTGTGTCTCAAATGTAAATCATTGTGGGAAATAACTAGAAGTAAATATTGATTTTCAATCTATAATTGCAATGACAGAAGAAGTACATTGTTAAATATTCCATGAAGTGCAAAAAAAACCCCCCAAACCAAAACAAAACAAACAGGTAGTCTTGGAGAAGGTGCAGCGAGATTACTCCTTAGAGACAAAGGTAGTGAAGCTTCATCTCACATACTTTGGACATATTGCTAGAAGGGGCTATTTCTTAGAAAGAGACATCATGTTATGAAAGGTGGAAGGGCAGCAAAAGAGAAGAAAATGACAGTGACTACAGCTATGGGCTCAAGTGTATCAGAGAAAATAAAGAAGGCACATGGTAGGACAAGGTTCAGATCTGTTGTTCATAGGGTCACTATGATTCATACTTGACTTGATGGCAAATAAAAACAAATTTAGTGCCATCACATCATCAGAGTAAAGTCTTGGTGCCACTGATACTTGTGTTGTAAAGTACCATATTCCCTCAGCCAGCTGATTCCTGACACTGCACTTAAGGGACACTTGACCTGCAATCCAGGGGAAAGAAAAAAAAACCCTCCTGGCCATATAGACAGTGTGTCACTCAGTAACATCAGGCCTGTCTGTGGATATGGACAGGTCCTCAAAGATGGTAAAGGACACATTTGCCTGTGAGCAAACACAGATTTTATTTTAACTCAATATGAATATTTACTGAGCTTCGTTTTCCTCCTGTGTAAAATGGGCACAATAGTTCTTCACACATGATGGAAATGTCTAATGGGGTAATATTTTTGAGGCACTAGACATATATATATATATATAGCATTAGACCATTCTGAATTGAATGTTTTATTCCTTATTGTATGTTGCTGAAGCTGTAAATCTTAATAGAGGGAGATTTCCTCATTTTTCCTCCAAGAACAACTGGTTATTAGAAATCAAACTTTCAGTTAGTAATAAAATATTTACTCTTCTATGCTACCAGAGATCAACATAAATTTAAAAGAAATTAAGTTTCACTTTTTTTTGCTGTATAGCGCAGTGTTCAGTGTGCATCCTGGGGCAGGGCAGCCTGCTTGTCAAGATGTAACAAAGCCCGAGCACTGACGACATGTAAACCATAATGATAAATGATTTTCAAAAATTTGTTAAAGGACGATCTTGAATAAAGCAGTAGGACCACACTGCTTTTATTATTATCAACCAAAAGTTACATATTTAGGTAATTGGATGAATGCTCCTCTCCTTAACAGAATACATTAATTCAAAAGCAAAGGCATGGAAAAAAATATATCAAGCAAATGACAACCTCAAAAAAGCAAGAGTGGCAATGCTAGTCTCTGATTAATTGATCATAGGCTCACTAGATCAAGAAGACATAACCTTGGTCCACATTTATGCATCAAATGATGTTGTCGATGTTGTAATGTGCCACCGAGTCCCTTGCAACTCATAGCGACCCTAGGTACAAGAGCCCTAAATGCCGTTCTATCCCATGCCAACCTTGCCATCTCAAACACACTCATTCCCACCACTCCACTCACGGAATAGATCCACCTCATCAAGGGTCTTCCTCTCCTGTGCCATCCCTCTACTCTCCCAAACTTGATGTCCCTCTCCAAGGACTAGTCCCTCCTTGCAACATGCCCAAAGTATGTCAGATGAAGCTTCAGAATCCTTGTCTCCAAGGAGCATACTGGCTTCACCCTCTCCAGGACAAGCATGTTTATTCTCCTAGCAGTCCATGGTATATACAACACTCTTCTCCAGCATCACAGCTCAAAGGCATCAATTCTCTTTCTATCATCCCTATTCACTGTCCAAATTTCTGATGCATAGCACATAATTGCAAAGATTATATAGCCTGGATCAGGCACACCTTAGTCTCCAGCCTGATGTCATTGCTCTTCAGTACTCTTGAGAGGTCCCTCACAGCTGACTTTTCCAATGCAATTCATCTCCTGATTTCCTGGCTGCTGTTGCCAAGAACATTGACTGTGGAACCAAGTAAACTATATCTCAATCTCTTCACCATCCATACTGATGCTGCCAATTGGCCCAGTGGTGAGAATCCTTGTTTTCTTGATGTTGAGCTTCAATCCATACTGAAGACTGCAGTCCATGAGCTTCTTCATCAAGCGCTTCAAGTCCTCCTCAGTTTCAGAAAGCAGAGTTGTGTCATCTGCTAATGCAGACTGTTTAGGAATCTTCCTCCAATCCTGATGTCATATTTCTTCTTCTCATAGAACCCAGCCTCCCAGATAATCTGCTCTGCATATAGATTGAAAAGGTATGGGGATACGACACATCCCTGGCATACACTCTTTGCAATTTTGAACCATGCAGTGTTTCCTGCCTCTGTGCTGATGACTGCCTCCTGGTTCAATATATGTTTTGCATTAGCATGATCAAGTGTTCTGGGATTCCCATTCCTCTTAGACTTAGCCATAGTTTGTTGTGATCCACACAGTTAAACACCTTTGCATAATCAATTCCTTTGGTACTCCCTGCTTTCATCCAAGATCCATCTAACATTAGATACAATATCCATCCCTAAAACTATGACCCCTTCTAAACCCAGCCTGCACTTCTGGTAGTTCTCTGTTGATGTGCTGTTCCAGTTGTTTTTGCATAATCTTCACCAGAATCTTGCATGCGATATTAATGATACTGTCCGATAATTTCTTACTCTGTTGGATCACCTTTATTTGGAATGGGAACAAATATAGATCTTTTCCAGATCTTATGATGTTGTTGTTTTATATGCTGTCGAGTTGCTTGCAACTCATCGTGATCCTATGTACAACAGCCCCAAACCCTGCTCTATCTCTTGCCAACTTTGTTGTCTTTGACACATCTGTCCCATTATCCCAGTTACAGAATCAATCCATCTCATTGCGGGTCTTCTTCTCTTGTGCTGTCCCTCCACCCTCCCAAGCATGATGTTCCTCTCCAAGGACTGATCCTGCCTTGCAAGTTGTCCAAAGTATTTCAGACAGAGCTTCAGAATTCTTCCTTCCAAGGAGCAGCCTGGCTTCACCCTCTCTAGGATGAACTTGTTTGTTCTTCTAGCAGTCCATAATATATTCAATACTCTTCTCTAGCATAAAAAGTCAAAGGCATCAGTTCTTCTATCATCCTTAGTCACAGTTTATTTTAAATTTTATCTTGAAGAATATATAAAAAAATGAAATGTTTGTGTGTTATTTAATTTTGGTTCTTTTAGTCTACTTTTTTTGGTTACACCTTCTTTCAACGTTTTGCCAAAAATAAAGCATGATTTGGGTGCCTGTACACAGATTGGTTTATGAAATCTTTGGAAGTTTCTTCCCAATGTTAGAGTTTAGCTATCTGATGGCCTAGAAAAAGGCTATGTATCTGTCTACATCTAAACAGAGGTATACTCTGGATAAACATCTAGAATTTGATACCATACACTTATTAATTTTTTCCTTTAGATTGTTCTACTCCACCTTCTTTGTGGAAATTCATTGCAGTTATTACTGGAATCATTTGCCTGATACTTATCTTGCTTGTTGGAATCCTAACAGTAAAGTGTAAGTTTCCATGTTAGAAGACATAACAATTTTTCAATACTCATATTTTTTAAACAGTTCAATTTCATGACCAGGTATAATGCTTTATGCACAAACTCAGAGAGGGTTGTTTTCTTCTTTTTTAAAATAAACATATCCTGTTAGTAGCCAGTTGAATTGAACCGTAATGAATTAAGCTACAAATCCCTTGCTTCCTCTTTGTTTTTGAAAAATTTCCTTAAATAATCTTCTCTTAACAGTGTATTATGAACTTTATGTAATTTTTTTAATTTATGATCTCTCATTTTATTTGAGTTCTTTGAAGAAAATAATGTTTATTATTTCTTTTTATTGGGATGAAAGTCTGCAAATCATATTCATTTTTCACTGAACTGCTCATACATTCTTTATTTTAATTAAAATTTATTAATGTAATTAGTAACATATAGAGTAACATCCAAGAAAAGTGTTATAGCTCAAGATTATAATGAGGAGAATCATAAAAACTTAAAAACAAATGATATTTTTTAGACGTCTTTTTATTCCTACACTTAGTAAAAGGTGCTGTTGTTGTTGTTGTTATGTGCCGTCGAGTCATAGAAATGCTTTATTTTTCTTTGTTAACTTAAAGTGTATGTATCTGTATTCTTTTAAGTGCATCAGAAGTCATATTAGGCAGAAAAAAAATCAGAAAAGTATTCCTTCAAAAAAGAAGCAAATAAAACATAAAATTTGTCTAGTCAGAAGTCTCTAAATAATAGAAGCAAAGTAGATGTGTGTGTGTGTGTGTGTGTGTGTGTGTGTGTGTTTGTGTGTACATTTTGAATTAATTGACTCAGTGTATTTTATGGCCTAGAAATTCAGGCTACAATTGATGTTGCTGTCTTAAGTTTGAAGTCCAAAGGAAAAACTATCAGGTTTGCAATGCAACTAGGATATAGGTGACATTGTTTTGAGCTAGAATTTCTTCAGAAAAAAAAGTCACTTTTATAATTCATGTCTATTTAAAATTTTATAAGAATGACCAATCATTTTTTCTTAAATATATTGAAACTGAAGTTTCTGAATTCTCTCCAGTGAATCAGAAGTCATTTCAAGCAGAATACACAAGAAATTTCTCCACTAACAAGGAAAAAAACAAAACAGGTGATTTCAAATTAGTGTTTTAAAGTCATATTTGCAGAAGCTTGCTTTGGATGAATATCTTCTTGTGATTTTTTAATTTATGTATTCATAATTGTCTAACTTATAAAGCTTAGAAAAATCTTACACTTTTATGAAAGTATACAGGCTCCATTTCCAGTTTTAATTTCAAGATAATTATATTTCCAATGATAACATATATATTGGCTATGTTTGTACATTTTCAATTTCACAGTATTTCAATTTTGTGATTTAAAAAAGATTTAATATTTTCTTAACAGTTTTACAAGCAATATATTTACAAAGAAGTTAATTCTGTTTATGATAAATCAAAAATAAATTTAGGAGCATAAAGTCTATAATGTGAATTTTTTATAATATATAGAATATAGTTATTATATAAATATGTAATGACAGAAAATATTTAATGATATTCTAAATTCTTTACACAGTTTTAGAATTCCCTCCTTGTTCAATCCCTTGGCATCAACATGGAGCAAAATGCTACTATTTTTCAAGAGACAAGCTTTCTTGGAAAGATTGTAATGTTTATTGTTCTAAAGTAAATTCCAGTTTTGTCAAATGGAATACTGTAGAAGAAATGGTAATGAAATTTTTTAAGTGACATTTAGTTTGAAGAATAACTAACAATCTTAAAAATCACTCACATTATGTTGTTTTTTCTAAATACTATATAAAATGTATATTATTATTTTATATCTTCATATTTTGACTGCAATCTGGATGCGTAATTCAATCACCATTAAGTATCTCTGAAGTCTTAGTCACAAGGAATTTTGCTGTCAATATAAATGTACACAGTACAAATTAACCAGCTGCTCTGAAAGAGAAAGATAGGCAATCAACTCTCATGCCAGATATTTTTGTTGTGATGTGCTATCAATTGCCTGCCACTCAAAGTGACCCTACATAAAACAGCTGTGAAGCGTGCCCCATCCTGAGCAAGTCTCACTGACCCATACAAATCCTAAGCCCCACTTATGGTGTCAATCCATCTCATCCGAGGTTTTGCTCTCCTATGCTGTCCCTCCACCCTTCCAACCATGATGTCCTTCTCCAAGGACTGGTACCTCCTGGCCATGTGCCCCAAATATGTGAGAGGAATGTCAGAATCCCTGGGGGAAGGGATTTTAAAACAATGAAAGAATTTTTCTTTTACTTCCCAAAGAGAAGAGTGTACTGTGGGAGAGGGATGGGCAGGGAGAAAAGTGCAACAATGAATGAATGGAAATCCAAAATCTCTGTAAATGTTCATTAAAATTAATAAAAAATTTATTGAAAAAAATCCTTGCCTCCAAAGAGAAACTTGGTTTCACCCTTTCTCTGACAGACCTTTTCCCCCCTTTTTTAATTATTATTATTAAATTTTATTAGTTTAATGAACATTTACAGACTGACAGACCTTTTTGTTCTCTTGGATGCTCATGTTATGTTCAATACTCTTCTCAAGCACCAATGCA